TTTGCAGCCTGAGTTCAAATGAAAAGTTTTAACTGCATTTAAGTTGCTTCAGTTGGTAAATTACTTTTATAAATTTTGTGGCTTGAGAAACCTTCAGGTTTCAGTTTTTGGTTAATGCAGGTATTGAGAGATTATAGTGAAGACAGTTGTTGACATTCATCATGAAGTACTTGGAATTTACTCCTCTGGACAGGTAAGTTTTTAAGATATGGAATACCTTTTCTTCAATACGATCATTAGAGTATTTTTCGTTATAAATCATTTTACATCCCCTTGCTATTTTGCTCATAGAGTCAGTTAATTGAACGATACATGTCTTTTTCAGAATAAATGATTTCTTGAATCATATAAATCTTGGAGAACGTACTATCAGAGGATGTATGGAAGCTTACTCTTGTAAGTATGGTATTTCCAATTTCAGAGAGCACAACATAGTATGATAGTAGTAGGTGTAACTGGGGGAGCAAAAGTTTTGATTTGTGGTTTTCTAGGCAAGCATACAGGAACTGATAAGAAGCTGTCTCTCAGCCTGGAGAATGAGGTGAAGACTGTATCTTATTTATTATTATTATTATTATTATTATTATTGGTTTTGTAATAGATTCAAATAATTTTAGTTCTTTTTTGGTCTTAGTTTGGTGGTTACTGCTTTTGTTTTATTCTCACTTCTCTCAGATATCGTACTTGAAAGATTATTGGATTTTTCCCTTCGTTTTCTTTGGTAGTTTAGACAAACCTCAAGGCCCAAATGTCATATTTCTGATCCAGGCTGTATTTACAGTTCATATTTAGAAGAATGTATTACCGTATCATTTAGTTTCTAATGTTATGTGTTTTCCTTTTATTTTTTCAAATCTAGATTCTCGATCACCTTGGAAAGTCATCCGATGGCGAAACCGACTCCTCAGCAATTGAATATCTGTATAGTAGATCAAGGTTGCTGAATTGATCGAAAAGCTTATCATCTGTTCATTGTCTTGTGTGATATGTAGCTAATTGCTTTTCTCACTTGTGTTCTTTCTATGTTCTATTTGTTTTGCTCTTTTGATTTATGATACCGCCACAGCCGGAAGACACTGGTTTACCTTCTTCTAACTCTTCATCACATGTACCCTGATTATGGCTTCAGGTATCTCTGTATCTTATGTTGGATTGTGTAATTGATTTAAAATGGATATGTGAAGGAGGATTATGGGTAATGCCACTGTCAGCTTTCTTGGCGATGTGGCATCCCGATAAATAGTCTGTCCTTAACAGCTTTGGGAATGTTGTCAGAAGGTTTGACAAACAGTTTACAATACTGTTTAGTTGAGAGTTCAAGTCTCTCCATTTCCCAACACTATTTGTCAGTTGATAATATATTTTCTTAGTTTCTATTCCAACCATCTGCACTTGCTAGACTATTATTAGTTCTTTTAAGCAATTTTTATATTTATTATTTATATACTTGTTTTATTTTTATGCTGCAATCTTTCAACTTGTGGTCTACCAGTGCAGTGAAAGCTCATGAGTATTTCACAGAAGAAAGCTGGGACAGTTTTAAGCAGTTTTTTGATGTTTTCATGTTTGAAGCCTCAAAGGTAATCAAATTGTATCTTTCGTCCACCTTGATTTGTAGTGCAGATTGCGGAAGGATTTTACAAGAGAGCTCTACGTCCTTATAACTTAAAAGTGATGAAGAGTTTTTTATGTACCAGAAAGCGCATCAGTAGTGATGCTGGATTGGAACTTGGGATGTTAATATGTTATAATCTCTCTAAGTCCTTATACCACCACATAACAAATTAGTTTGTTCATCTGTAATAAATTGGAACTTCGGATGTCACTTTTAGAGTTTGTATTTACTACAAATAGGTGGTTGTGTTGTAGAACAATTCTTTTGGTCCATCTTTGATAACCAAAAACCCACGTGCCAACTGAAATTTCTTGCTAGGTGTTATTTAGAGAACTGAATGGTCAATTCTTTCGATTTCATGTTATCAGCATGCAAATACATATATTTGTTTCTCAAGTTTCCTTGAAATTTCTTGTCTGCTTGTCAGTTGGATGCTGTCATTTACATAGATTGAGATGTGCTAAATGCTTGTGTGTTTATGATTGGATAAACTACTAAAATCACCTTGAGGTTTCACCTTGTTACAGAAGTCCCATTAGTATTTCAGGATTGCAATACCCAGCAAATGGCTTTACAACCTCTTGAGGCTGTATTGACTGAGAAAATATCTCCTATTTTGGATGAAGTTGTAAAGTAGGAAAAAGTTAACGGGTATTTCAATTTCGAGATATGACTGAATCTTTTGCAATTTAACTGCAAAATTGAAGGGTGTTATTGCAATCAAGTTACTGAAATTTTGAATTCACTTCCTTTAGTTTCTTATTGACGATTTAAAGTTTCTTTGGAGGTTGAGCTCTGATAGGAGTAATTGGTGGGGTATGTAATGAACTGAGGGTCTTAAACTTTTGATGGCAGGAATGGCTCGAGGAGCACGAAGGAGGGTCCCTACTTGAGGCCTTGTACAAAGCCTTAGATGAGGTATCATCACCCTTTAATGAAACACACTAAGCTAAATTTTAAAAGGCTGGATTTAATAAATAACTGTTTGATAACTTCGTTGTGGCCACAGGTTGTAAAACTATCAGAATGTGAACTCTACAGTTACAACCCTGAGGCTGAGGCAGATCCGCTACGTGAGAAACGAGCTATGTAAGATTTTACTCTCAACTATATTAACAGCTAATTTGTCTTTAGTATGTATCTAACTTCTGTCCTTTTTTCATCACTTTCTTTTTTGCGTCTTTCTTTTGGTCTGTAGATGGTCATATCATTTTTTCTTCTACAATAGAAAGCTGAAGCGTGTCGTAAGCGTTCGTTTTAGCTGCTCAAGGTAAATATTTTTTGTGTATAATTTATTCATACTATTTTACTATTAGAAGCTATAAATTCTAGATAGGTAATTAGAAACACTGCCCAAAAAAAATTGTGTTTATTACAAAATCCCCTCTAAACTTTTAATTTACGTTATATTTTGAAAAAATTGAACTTATTGGGATGGTATTTATAAACGAAGCACAAGTGAGGGAGGATATGAAATAACTAAAAGTATATACTTGTAATTTCTAGAAGAAAACCGCACATTTTCTTAAAAAACGGGCAAAATCTCAAGGTCTAAACCACCCATTCTTTGTGGCAGCAACTTGATGAGTGAAGGCTTTTATGACGATGAGTTGAGTCACGAGGAGAACAATGCAATATTTGTCGACATGGACATGTAGATCACTAACCACTGCAAAGCCAATCCTCCATACCGCTGCTTGAAGAGCTTTGTATCGACTTCCTTTTGTGTTAGCATGGACATATGTAGAGGCTCTTGATGTGCTTTCTGCACATGTTCATATTAAACCCCTTTCTTGATTGTAAATATTGTTGTAAGGCTGCAGATGACTCGTTTCCGTATTGTGCAAAATCGATTGCGAAAGTGTCTCTCTGTATCAGGTTCGATACTTGAGACTGGGGGTTTGTTTGTAGACTGATATTCCATATTGTGCAAAAATCTAATATTAAAAACTGTTTGGATTATTCTTTGCCCGCAACTACAAAATCGAAGAGCCAACGAAATAAACAAAGTAAACAAATAGCAACAGTACTATGTGATTGTTTGCTGTGTTTCTGTCATTACTTGTTTTATTGGGATGAGTCCGGTTCATTTAGACTTATATTTGTGTTTTGTCGGTTCGTTTTGCCCATGTTTTTCTTCTTTATTTTTTTTTATATATTTATTTTTTCTACATCACGTCTTTGTCTTTCGTACTTCTTCATGTCTATTGGTGCATTTTATGTCCAAACGAGTCAGAAGATTAATTGAGCCGGAAGATTACATGCAAATCGAGCCATTAAATACCATGAGTCGAATGTCGAACTTAGAGCGAGATCCATCATCTCAAAGTATTCATGTATGTTGATTTCGGACCGTGTTGGAAGCAACATGCTTGCTCCGTACCGTGTACGCCGAGATAGCGAGGGTCATCGAGCTGCTTGTTGAACTCACTGGGCGTAAATGTGATGCGAGGTGTGAGTCCCTGCCACCTGACGAGCTATCGAACTCCTCAAGTGCGAGCGAGATGCAAGTCCTTTGCCTGCTGTTGAACCCATTGAGCGCGAGCGAGACACCGCCACCTTGGTGCGAGAGTTTCACGCCTCCCCCCGACTCGCAGGGCATGAACTACTCACAACACGTGAGTCCACCTTCCTACGCCACGAGTCCGCTGCCTTGTCTACGAGTCTGCCACCTTGCCCTGGGTTGTGTGTGTGTGTTTAGTGTGTGTAAGACTATTGGGTATAAATACATTTGTCTCTAATCATTTTAAATGTCTTCCACTCGTTTTCTTTAGTTTTTATTTTCTAGACTCTTCAACGTTAGCCACTTTTGAGAGCTCCATGACTCTATTTTAAGTTTTTTATTCTTCGTCTACTTCGCTACTTACCGATTTGTTTGGCCTTGCGAATGCTTAGAGGGTAACTAAAGACTCGTTTTGAAGTTCAATTTCTCAAGTTATTTTGTTATTTGAATTAGTATAGTATCTATTGTAAAGATAGAAGCCTTTTCGAAAATGAGCAGAGATTTCAGTCTTTTTCGGACAGGGAATATGTGATGTGGTGATCATATGCCAAGTTTATCTTTCTTATCTTAAGGATAGGCAAGTTTAACTTCCAATGTCCCTTTTGCTCAAATCGGATACACTCACCTTTCGGCTCGTACTTCCCAGGAATTTATGGCACTATTCAAGTTCTATTTCTAATCAACTTTTGAACAAGTAAATATTTTTGAGAATAAAGAACAACTGATTTTAAGACAAGTTTGAATTATCATGAGAATCACGTGAATTTTTACTAATCAAACATTTTAAATTTAACCATGAACATTGATTAACTCAAAACTATATTAATTTAAATTCACTGAAATCTCAAAACACCGAGAATAATGTATGCCACGTAAGGATGACACTCCGCATTCAACATTCGCAAGAGGAGCATTTTTCAAGAATCCATTAATTTCCATAAGACAAAATAAAATTCATAGCGAACGAAAATAATAGTCGGTCTTTTGACCATGTGGAAAAAAATTAGTGACTCCGTTAGGTGAGGATGATTTTTATCACATTATAAGTGTAACACATTACCTAATCCTAAGGTCATCATGCAAAGATTGTACGTCCTCGGTTTGGTGAGGCCCATACAATCTAAGCACAATTTCATACAATCATCCGATTAGAAGTTTGTCCTGGTGATCCCGTATTTGATTTTCAGTAATGTCCCAGGTTAGGCGAGGCCCACACATCAGATAAATAGCATCACCGACAAACCACTAATGGAGGCCGTAGGATTTTTAAACTTTGCTTAATTTTATATTATTCTTACTCACCTAGTATTTTAAAATGAGGATTTTTAACACATGGAATTCCATAAATAATCCACATGCCATAAACCAATTAGTTAAATAATCTTGTATATCAAGCAATTATTAATAGCAACAATAAGAACATGGATATAAATCCCACTAGTATGGCCATTAATTAGAACTGTAGCTGAAGTAGTAAATATATCAATCCATGTCTTATTGGAACTATTTTTCCCTAGTAGTTTGGAATTCCAAAACAAGCAAACTTCTTGTCCATGTAAGCCTGTCTCTATAAAGCTGTCGGTCGCTTCCCGTCCTCTATCACCGCCGTGTTTCCCGCGGTGGCAATCTAGCTGAGGCACCTCCGAGTTCCTCTCCAGTCACCGGAGTCTAGTCGTCGTCGCCATGTCATCATTGGGATACATGTTGATCGTCATTGGTTTTGTTGCACCGCCCGCAGGCCTAAAAGAATAGTGCGAGCTGCCTGGGTAGCATCCAACATCACTGGACATTGCGCCGTATGCCCGCGACAAAACTGCACTAGGAAGACGATAGGTCGCCTAATCACGTGTGCCAACACAAAAATTGCATTGTCGACTCGCCAGTGCGTCGCTTGGAGTCCTGAGATCTCCCGTTGTGCCAGCGCACGGCCGGGGCTGCCCGTTGTGCATGCTCGTTAACGCTTGGGCATGATGCACCCGTATTTTTTTTGTGCTGACGGGTGCGGGTGTCTACGATTGAGTCGCACGCGAAGTGCAGAGCACATCTACAGTGTTCGCTGCCCTAGTCACGGCCTTCAGCCACGCCTACGTCCTTGCACCACCATTGTCGAGACTGCCTTCCAGTGCTCGGCAATGTGTGACTGGGCGACTGCGACAGCAAGCTGTTAACAGCCCTTTCGCGTCCGTATGTGGCTACATCTGTTTAGGCATTGTCGGGGTCATCTGTTGACTGATCCACCATGTCGATGTCACTGGCCTCCTTCTTTCTCTGGTTTTATACGTGTTTGTCGAGATCAGAATTAAATTACATAAATTTACCCAGGACCCATAAATGGGTTTACATGGTCGTTCTAAGAAAATAATAAACCTATACACTATACATTGTCCCATATGTGAATAAATTTATCACAAGCATTCTCCAACCCATAAAACTCCTCGACATGATCGAGACTTTAAAAACGTGCAAGAATTAGATAACCTTAAAAGGCCATAATAGTGGATTCAATTAATCTTGCAAAACCGAGTTAAGCATAATCCAAACAAGCTTTAAAATCCAAACTTTGCACAAAATTGAATTAAACTAAGTGCTATGATATCACTTGGTTGAGTTAAGTTAAGAATGTCGAAATTATGTAAGTCATGGATCATCTACGAATTAATCCTAAGCACATCGGATCTAGTGATTAGGATTGAACACATACATTTTCAAAATATGCAGACTCTGTACAGACTTACACGGCCTACGGGTCCAGACAAATGATTTTAACTTCTCGTCTAATCGTCCTTGTCCATGCTTGCCTTTTGGACAATCACGTCTCGCCGATGCTAGACGTTCACGATCCCCACGCCCCACCTTATTGGTGTGCTAGTCACACCGTGCATCACCCTGGGCATCGTCGGACTGCTACTGGTCATACCGCATCGCCTAGGGTTTGTCAGACCGTGTTTGGGTTGCTGGTGGTCGTTGGTGCTCACTGGCGGTTGCTGGTGGTCACTGGAAGGTTGCATGGGGCATGACCGAGTCGCTTGGGGTTGCTGAAGCTCGTCTGGGCATCTTCGGGGCTTGCGTGCCTGCTGTGGTGCGCGACAATGTCGCTGTGACATTAACGTGCGCGCATGGGGCACGTTCTGCCACTGTCATTCGACAAGGTCGCGCAGACGCTCCCCACGTTGCCTATCTGCTGGCATTATCGTACCTGTCGACTGCTTGTAGTATTTTTCACGCGCATTAGCGTGACGTCTATGAGAAACTCATATGTCACCTAGCGGGCGCTGCAGCCAGCATGTCGCTGCCCTATGACTCGACCCATCTGCGGCCAGCCTGCGGCGACCAGCACCAGGCTATTGCTTGCGAGCTCGCCCAGCTGCCTGCGATCAGGTTACACAACCGCACGACTCGTTCGAACTGTTCCGGCTGCCTGTCTGCAGTAGCTGAATACGATACGTCGCCGGTGGCTTGAGCTGATCGTCGGTGACTGCATGGGTTCATCGTGAGAATATCATCCGCTCGGTTTACTTGGGGATCTTATGTTGCATTCCTTGTACCGACTTCGTACATCGTGGTGGGCGACGAATTTGAAGATTTCCCTTTGAATTATTGATTATCACACAAAACTACATAATTTTGTGCTAATATATATTTATGTTGAGTGAGACGTTGTTCCGCAGAAACATCCAAGGGAATTGGTGTATTCATAGGATACAATAGGGATCCTAAGGGGGTGCTAAATATGGGTTCCCCATGTGTGAATCCAACTTTTGGCCGTGCCCACTCTGTTCATGCTTGAATAATATTTTACTTCATTAAGAAAATATTATTAAACTCCCATATAGGTCCCAAATTACATTTTTGGCTCCAAAATAATTCTCGATTTATCTCCCATTGTTTAAGATATAATGTCCGTCAATTACTGACAATTTAATTAGTTCACTTCTTGATCCAAAACTAGTACGTCTAAATTTTTATTATTATGTCAGAATTCAACCACTGGTTGAGCTTGACATAAATCCTTCTTGAACTCATTTCGAGGACATCATCAAATTAGTGCACACAATGACCGTAAATAATTGAACATCACACCATACAAACAACATCAACACGCAACTCACCTAGACTATTGTCCCAACAGAATGGACCTCACTTTTTAGTGAATCACAGTAGAAACTACTGGATGGAAAAAATTCCCCTTTTCTCTCTGCGTTTGGCTTCATTTTAATATACGTCTGTGTGAGTGGTGTGCCTCCTCTCTGGCACCCGCGTTTCCTACTGGTGTTGGGGCCACGATCTTGGCTGTGCCTTGATTTTTGCTGCGAGATTTTGGGTCCATTTGTCAGACGTGGCTCTCGGGCTTCGTCCGTTGGATCCTGAGGGGGGGAGGCGATGGGGGTGGTGGAAGTCCAAGTTCCATTTGGTGGGATGTGGGGTGGTGGAAGAAGTTGTGATTCCCCTATTCTGTTTAGGTTCGGTGCCTGAGACCAGTTGCAGTGTCTCTTGTAAGCAGCTAGGGTTGTTGTGGTCCTCCTCCGCTGGGGTTTCTTCTGTAACTATTGGCTATGGGGGTTAGGGGTCCGTCGGTTTTGTCGGGATATGCTTAGGGCGACAGTTTTTTACTGTGGGCCGTGGGGATCATAGGATTCTTTGACAGGTGCTTTGATTTCCCTGTCTTCAGTATTTGGTCTGGCGCTGGGCGTACAATGACTTCAGGCGGGGGCTGCTTCAGTCCTTTTATTTAGATGGGAGTTTTCGTTTGTTCTGGGGGAACTTGGTTGTACGTCTACTGTTGTTGGTTCTGTGGTGGCCTCTTGGGTAGTTCCGGGTCCTATTGGTCCGGTTCTAGTTAAGAATTAGGCAGTTTCTAGGTCTGTGTTGGGGTCGAGGGTCCATCACTCCTGGGGTATTTACTTCGGTATTAGATCAGACATAGGGCTAGGGAAGTAGATCATAGTCTGTTGGGAGGACTTTATTTTGGTTCTAGTTCAGTTATTAGTTTTTTTGGTTTTTAGTTTTTAGTTTTTCTTGCGGATGAGTTTGTGGTTTGTAGGCTCCCATTGGGATGTCTTTCCTCTAGATTCAGTCGTGTTGCTGCTTGATTCAGGCTGTTACCGGCTGGTTTCTAGCTTGTATCTATGTGGTTTAATGCAAGCCTATCGTTTCGTTAAAAAAAAAGGTAGCAGCTACTAAGTGCACGTTCCCGTTATTATCTTACGGGTTAAGAATACACAGTAATTACCGAAGTCCAGTTTGTTTACCTGGTCAATATAAAATAAACTTATCTTCCATGAAATCGTTCAATACAC